CACGGCGGGCACGCAGCCGCCCCCGGCACCGGCAGCCTCCGGAGCCCCGGCAGCGCTGTGCCCGTGGCAGGCAGCGGCCCGGGAGCCGCACGGCGCTGTCAGGCAGCTTCGGAGGACGGGGATGTCCCCGCTTGTGTCCCCCGCCCTACGCGTTCACCGCCCAAACTCTGTGTACGCTCAGAAACGCGGGGAAGGCATGGGGGGTTTTAAAGGCAGCGGCCGGGTGGCGAAGTGATGGGTGCTGTGGCAGCCAGAGAGAGGTGCTGAGCCTCTCGCAGAGCGGGGAGGGACGGGGCTGCTTACCAGCAGCTCTTGGGGTTTGATGGAATTGTCCGTGTATATGCACAGCTTCTCGGCTGTGAGGGGGATTGTCTCTTTCAGCTTGGAGGCCAGAAACATGCACACCGCCCCCAGCAGCTGCAGATGGCACTTCCGAGTGGGCACCACAGCTAAGAATCTGTCCAAGTAATTCATGGCCAGAGGGAAAACTTCTTCTTCGCACTTCTGCTCTTCGCAGACCTGCAAGCGAGGAGCGTGGGGCCGGGAGGATGGGGTGGGGGGGAGGGGACGGGACGGGGGTGGGAAGCGAGAAAGAGACAAGGAAAAAATAMATAAATTAGTGAAATTTATCAAACAGACTACTGCTTCCCTTACTTTTGCTCCTGCTATTTTTGTTTCCCGGGGAGCTACATTTTGGGGGAGGGGGAGATCTCTGGAGAGGCTGGGAAGGCTGTCAATCGGCTTTCACATTCCTTTAGTTCATTCAGTAAGAAATGAATTCAAGACACTGTGTGGGAGAGCCGAAAAGCCCCATCTAGCACTAACCGAGCAGCCTCAGACTTTTTTTCTTTTTTTTTTTTGACCCAATTTTTCTTTTTTATTTCGTCATATTTTCAAAAAATCGATAAAAAATATCAAAACTTCTTCGGGTGTCCCGGTTTTGGGGCTGGTGGCATCCCGGGACTATCCCCTATCGTTTCCGACAATTGCAAAAATTCCCCCGCCGGGTGTCCCCCAGCCCTGCGCCCCCAATGCCGAGCTGGGGGGGAAGGACGGGAGACACAGCGAGGGCGAGGTGGGGTGGAGAGAGCCCGAGCCGCCTGGATCCTTTTAGCAGRCAGCGAGCACCAAAAATGTTTCAAAAATTTATCAAAAATCAGAGCGGGGGACAAAATGCACAAATCGCACATGAAAACCAAGCGAGGAGTCTGGGCTTTCCAACCCGGGGGGTTTGGCTCGGGAAGGGTGCCCCGCGGAGAAGATGCGAAGGGGTAAAGGATGGCTGGTGGGGCCAGCGCAAGGCAGACGAGCCTGCGGGACTCCGGGCCCGCTGCCGCTCCGGCTGAAGCCTCGGGGCGAACGGGGGGTTCAGCGCCCGCCCCACGGTCCCCACACACCGGGGGTCCCGTTCCCTGGGGGCGGGGTACACTCCCGAGACCCCGGGAAAGGAGCGGGGCCAGCCGGGCTCGGCGCCTGCAAGGAGAGTCCGCATGCAGCGCAACATGGCGAGAAAAAGGCACGTCCTCCCCACTGCATACGTGGGCACGGAACCCTCGCCGGGCAGAACGCGGGGCACACGGGGCACCCCCCGACCCTCGCCCTGCCCCGGGCGCATCTCCCTTTTCCCAGGAATGACTCAATCTCAAGCGCTCCTGGAGGCGGATTTTCTTTGCTTTTAATTGCAAATGACTTCTCCAACTCCCCCCCCCCAACCCAATACGCCGCGCTTCCTCCTGTACCCCGCTCCCGGGGCCCCCCGGAAGGGGCCATTTCCCCCGTGCGCTGTCGGTGTCCCCCGCACCCCTTCCCACACCGGCTGAGCTCCGGAGGGGGGACAAGGAGGAGAGGGGATCCACAAGAAGAAGCCACCCGGTGACCAGAAGAGAGAGGGGCTGCAGAGGGAGAGGCGCCGGGGTGCTGCCTGCGGCCCCTCTGCCTCTCCCCTCTCCGAGGGCCAGGGTGTACGAACCTCCAGCATCCAAGTGGCCACCATCCTCCTCATGAAGGGCTGGATGTCCTTCTGGACGCACTTGAAGTAGGAGCATTGGGGCAGATACCTTTCCTCTATGGTTAGTAAATTGTGCAAAACGCGGTCATCGTAGAGCAAGTTCGGGTCAGGCAAAGCTCTCCTCATGGGATCCACCTCGCAGCACAGCAGCTCCATGTTTCCAAAGAGATCTCCCTCTTTCTCTGATGAGAAAGGTTTTTCCTCCTTTTTTTTTTCTTTTTTTTTTTTTTTTTTTTTTTTTTTGAGGGGGGGAAGGGGGTGGGGAAAGGAGAGGGGTAAAGGAGGAGGGGTAGGTGGGTGGGAGGAAGACGGCAGGGCTTTCCAGCTCTCTCCTGCCTCCCTTGAAACTTGTCTCTCCCTCTCTTGATTTCTAGCCTAAAGTTGAAGCGAAGTGACGCAACTCGCCAGGGCAGGCAGTTCTCTCTCGTTATTATGGAGAATAGCAGCTGGTCAGACGTAACATCAAACGCTTTTTTTTTTTTTTTTTCTTTCCCTCTCTATAAGCTAACAAGGAACCAGGAGGCCCTTGTTAGGGACACACACACGAATGACAGCTTCTCTTTTTCTTCCTTCCAGCAAGCAAATTAAATCCGCTCCGCGTTTTCCTTCTGTGGGAGCCCGTCCCAATCAATTTCCCTCTCCTTATTGCAAGAAATTACGGGGACCCCTCGGTACCCACCCAGACCATGGGGGAGAAGTATGAAATGCCCTGACATAGCAGGGTGCCAGATCCATGTCTTACCCTCCCTGCTCCGGCACCCCCTTCACCTGCAGCCGGAGGGGGACAGAGCTCCCCGCTAACAGCAACCCCCCCAAAAAAAATCCCTAGAGGGGTGGGAGTTCCGCAGCGTCTTCGGGGTGAAATCTCACAACCACCACGCTAGTTCTTGCGGCACACAATCGTGTCCCGAGCAGGCGAACCGTCTCCGCGCTGCATGGCCACACTGATACAACTTTCTAGGAAACGCAGCGGAGGAGGGAGGGAGGAGGGACGGAGGGAGGAGGGAGAAAGGTTGGCTGGGGAGGAGGGGGGAGCTGAGCGGAGTTATGGCCCGCACAGGGTGACTTCCACCCCGCTCGCACTTCGCCGGCAGTYGCTCCCCGCCCGCAAAACGTGTCAACTTTGCGCAGAGCGGAGGCTCCCGAAGAGGAAAGCGCTGCCGGAGCGGAAAGTTCCCGCGGGACACGGGGTGCCCGCAGCGGCCGCCCCGCAGCCCCCCGGCCCCGGAGGGTGGGTCGGAGGCGGCGGGCACGGAATTACCGCCTTAAAAGTGCGAGCGGGGACTTTGGGGCGCCGCTTCCCCTCCCGCTATTTGCATAGCCAATAGCTCTGGGGCTCTCGCCGCTGCGCGCTGATTGTTACCGGGCAGATTATATTTTAAGGTCGCGTGATGTCCCGGCACCGAGAGCGGTCCCGGAGGGACGGAGGCGAGGGGCAGCCCCCTCACCTGAGCGCACCGCCGGTCCCGACCGCCGCACGGGGCTCTGCCGGCACCGGGGGCAAAGCTGGCGAGCGGCCTCGCTGCCCGCGAGTGGGCTCAGGCGCCCCCTCCCACACCAGCCCTCACCCTTGTGCATCAAAGCGGATGGGAGGGGTGGGACCARCTCTGCCAACTCTCGACGGAGTCCAGCGGCAAGGCTGCCCTGGCAAAAGCTGGCTGGAACGGCTCCGCACCGAACCCGCCCGTCGGGGCAAATGGTTTCGCGGCCAGCAAAAAGCCAGCCGGAGTGTCACCCGGCCTTCCCCCGCCGCCCCCCATACCCCGGTAACGTGGAACAGCCGAGGAGCAGCATTATCCCATAAACTCAGCCCCGCGCACCCCTCGTCCGTCCAGGGAGCGAGCAGCACCAGGGAGCAGTGGGGAGCTGCCGGGCACCGTGTGTGGCCCCTGTCAGCTGTCCCCGAGCCGCGCTGGAGCGGGACCCGGGCAGAGCTGTGCCCGCCAAGGCTCGCCGGGAGGAGCGCAGGGAGGGCGGCGAGGAGGGGGCACCCCCGGCGCACGGCGAGGGCGGCGAGCGGGACCAACTACGGCGCGCTCCGCAATGAAAGGCTCTTTAACTTCCACCATTCATTTCCCCTTCCTGGCTGCTCCTGTGAACAGGGAGCGTGTTGTGTCAGCGCACGTTTTCCTTCTCCAAACTTAAATACATAAGCGCTCCCGTCTGGCTTTGTAGTCCGACAATGCAGCGATTGTGACTTATGTGGGTTTCGGCGGGGAGGACAACGGGTGTCCCGSTTGTCCGGCCGCGACTTTCCGAAGTGGGACGATGTCTGGGGCACGGCGGGGAAGGCATGTGGGGRCCCTCTGCACCCGCGATGGAGCGGCAGCCGGGGGAGCAGCCGAGGGCACCGCGGGCGGGCGGGCCGCCTTGCTGGGCATGTGGTGGGCATGTCCCGTTAGGGGGAAAAAGCCCTCTCTGAATCAATAATAAATGGAAGCGTGCCAGCTCTACACGCCGAGTTGCCACTGGTCTGCAACGTAACGTCGTGCAAGAAACAAAATTAACAAACAAAAAAAAAAAAACCCCAGCCAAAATACTTTTCCACTGTACGACGGCTTTTATGTGCGCGGTGGCCGTTTCCAACGGGGAAACGCCGTCCCTGGGAAGCGCGGCCGGCAGGCAGAGAGCCAGGGACCCGCGGTCGCGGAAGCCAGCGTGCCCGTGCTGCCCCTTCGCCTTGTCCCCGTGCCCACGGGCGCTGCCGCATGCGTTTGGAGGCAGCAGATGTTTTAACAGCCTTCGTGTAGAGATTACCGAGTGCCATATGTTAAATACCACCCTTCCTCCGGAAAAAAAAAAAATAAATAAATAAAAAAGAACCCCAAAACCATCAACGCCCCCCGCCCCCAAAAAACCCAGCAAAAAATAATAGCAAAAAAAAGGAAACAACAGCAAAACCCACTCTTTTCGCACTCGCTCCYCTTCTTTTGTCGAGTTACCTTACCCATTTAAAAGCATAAATTATTAAATCAAACASCGCGGGGATGTGCGCGCAGCACCGGAGCTGCCGCGGCGGCCGAGGGGGAACCGCTCTCCCGGGGCAGCCGCTCCTCCTTCCCACCCCTGCAGCCCCGAGGGAAGGGGGCTGTGCTGCTCCCAACCCCACCGCAGCCGCCGGGGGGCAACACCGCCGTCACTATTTMTGTCTTGGGACACTTCTGCCGGGCACCACGTCCGTTGTCACGGCTCCTCATCGCGAACCCGACACGCGGTTATCGTGTCATCGATAATATGTAATGATGTTTCATTGGGGTCCGTTGGAGAGCGCTGCAAAACTCTTGTTTTGTTTTGTTTTTTTTTTGTAATAAATCCTTAATTCGTCATCACTTCTATTTATTTCGTTTCTTTTCGCAGCAAATCCCAGAGAACCATCATGAAAATGCTTCAGGGACCAGGGTGGGCTCAAGCTTTGCAGACCAATAGACACGGTGTGAGTTCGCCCGGCGGCCGCGGTTTTTTTTGCTTGTTTAAATGGAATAAGTATACMTTTACAGTGCTTGAAACCTGAAGGTTGAAGTGTGAAACATGAGAATCTGAAAGTGAAACTGACTGGAAGCCAAAAAAGAAACAGATGAACGTGTTTCTACTGCCCGATCTGAGGAAAGCCCCAAAAACAAACAACGACCATGAATAATAAAATGTGCAATAGATTTGAAATAAAATTACTCCAGCTTCAGTCACTGGAAGCTGACTATGTTGGTGGTTTGGTTTGTTTCTGTGTTTTTTTYCTTTTTGTTTGTTTGTTTTTTATTATATCTGATTTTTAGRTGTTCAAAGGTAAATTACATAATTCCGTGCTATGCATTCAACAGGAAAAAATGATAAAAATTACCTTTTTTTTTCTCTGGTTTTTGATGAAAGTCTAGGAAAAGATTTGAATAGCACAGKATCTGCTGCATATCATATCTGTGTATTTTCAAGGAGTATTTTAATTGTACAGGTAGTTTTAATTCTAAATAACTGTGGTGGCARCTTTATAATTGACAGCCATATAAGACAAGGTAAGTACTGAGCAGGTGAAGCATACCCTGTGATAAATCTAATCTCACATTTAAAGGGTGGTTTTATGCAGGCTCAATAGTTGAACAGCATTAACTAATGGATTCTGTGTGATTGATTAACATGTATTAATTAATTGCGCCTTTCTGGTTTTGTGCAAAATTTCTTCTTTAACCTTTTTAATTTAAACTTCTTCAGAGCAGTAATTAGAAACTGTTTATGCAAAGAGTGCATGACTCCACTCAGATCCCTTTATTAGGTGAGATGGAAAAAGGAGTCAAAAAAGAGCTACAAGGATGGTCATGTATCTAGGATTGATGTTGTATGCTGGAGCCTTGATAAATTCACCAGAGTTATCCCAGAGAATTCCCAGGCTGACATTACTGCCAGAATTCATCCCAGAGAATTCCCAGGCTGACMTTACTGCCTTATCCGGCAAGGGTGCTGCGTCCTTTGCAGCCGTGCCCTCCTTTCCTTGGGGCAGGCTGATAAGGCTGCGTTTGTTTTACACGGACAGGAACAGCCAACAGGTGCCTCCCCCACGCCACAAGTCAATGCAAAGGGAGAGCTTGTGGCATTTTTTGTACGGGATCGGGCCCCCGGTATGCAGAACTGTACTGAAACGCTGCCATTATTTTGTTAAATTTGATGTTGTTTTTTATTTTATGGGTTTGTTGTTTATTTGTTTGGGGGTTTTGTGGTTTTGGTTTTTTT